ACCCCCCACCCCCGGAGCACGAGCTAAGTGCGACAAGGACGGCCCTTTCCGTTCCCTGCCCTCGCCCTAAATCCACGCTCTCGCGCTCACGCTCCCGTGAACGTATCTAAAACTGTTCTTTAGGGCTCGTTGGATCACGCGTTTCATGACCCTACTAGCACCCTAGCACCCCTAGCACCAATGTATCAGTCATGAGTACCGTGTTTTGAGTGGGGAGTGCAGGCTTTAAAGCTCTCGTAATAACGAAATACCAGGTGGCTGATTAACCCATCGCACTTCTGTAGTTATTGGCTTCGCTCACATTCCTTTACTTTACTAAACAAGAAGACAAAGAGAACTTGGAGTGGACCTGGCTGGATCGGGTTCGGATGGTCGCGTTGAAATGTAGGCAACACATGAAAAAAAAATCGGTAGACTGATTGCATTCACTAAAACAATAAGGATAAATCGGAAACGTCGATCCTAGTTAGACTGTACCGCACGCAGGAGTGCGGGCGGGCTTGCCTATCGCCCCTGTCCACGGCGCCTTACGGGCCGGGCGAGTCGGAAACCCTCCCGCACTCCTGCGTGCGGTACAGTCTAACCACAGAAGTGCGCGGTGTTAATCAGCCACCTGGTACAACTTTTACCCCGGATGACCCTGGGATGTGCACTGGGAACGACGCCAAGACTTGCGTACTTGCGTGAACAAAATTTGGTACACGTCGAATGGAGGAGTTCTCCCGGGAGTCGCGGATGTGGTTCTCGAGTCTCCTGTCTGCCCTTCCACTCCACGTTTGTTGTTGTTATGGAAACAAAAACTTGCTCTGCTGGCTGCTAGAGCGTCACTCGTCACACAGGCTCGCATTTTAAGTTTTCGTTCGTGAGTTGATTGATAGTCTTCGTTTAAGATGAAAATCGAAGAGGTGAAGAGTACGGCGAAAACCCAGAGGATTTCTGCACACAGTCACATTAAAGGACTTGGGCTGGACGAAAATGGTCTCGCGCTCGATATGGCGGCCGGCTTGGTCGGGCAGAAAGATGCACGTGAGGTAATGAACATACTGATTTTTTACACTATGTATTGAAATTTCTTTGTAAATTTAGATCGATTGCGTACATTTACTCGATAAATACATTGATTGGTTCTTAAACCCGTTTAATATGCCCGTATAATTTACCACTCATTTTCTGTCAGGCCTTACTAACCTCTTTTACCCCACACTGGTTGAAATCATGCCCATTCCTACTCTATATGATTCTATAGTTGTGATGCACGCTTAGCTATTGAATCAATTATTCAATTAATTAGAAGTGAATTTTACTCGAAATTTGTTACAAGCAAAAGTTGTCAACCTTGCTCTTATGTTTGTTTTTGAACAGGCTGCTGGTATCGTCGTGGACATGATCAGATCCAAGAAGATGGCTGGCCGTGCTGTCCTTTTAGCTGGACCTCCAGGCACAGGGAAAACAGCTGTTGCCTTGGCTATTGCGCAGGAACTGGGCAGCAAGGTACTTATTTTTATTTGAAATGTTGCTGTTACCGTCACATAATTGTATCAACAAGGAATACAATGTAAATTTATTTTTTTCCTTTTTTAAGGTTCCGTTTTGTCCGATGGTTGGATCTGAGGTCTACAGCTCAGAAATTAAAAAAACAGAAGTATTAATGGAAAATTTTCGAAGAGCAATTGGCCTTAGAATCAAGGAAACAAAAGAGGTTTATGAGGGAGAAGTTACAGAACTAACACCAGTTGAAACTGAAAATCCTTTGGGAGGTACATAATTTTATTGCTACTAAATTATTATATACTAGTAGTGTTTCTTAGTTTCAGTGTAATATTTTACCCTATTTATCTCCTCACAGGATATGGCAAAACTGTTTCTCATGTCATCATTGGACTGAAGACTGCCAAGGGTACAAAGCAATTGAAACTTGACCCATCTGTTTATGAATCCTTACAAAAAGAAAAGGTGGAGGGAGGTGATGTTATTTACATCGAAGCCAATAGTGGAGCTGTGAAACGTCAAGGAAGAAGTGACAGCTATGCTACTGAATTTGATCTTGAGGTGAAATTTTTATCTTTCTTTTCATGTCTTAAAATATTTTTAAAAATAGTTTCAGCGCCATCAATAGTATACTAATGTCTTTTCTCTCAGGCTGAAGAATATGTTCCTCTTCCTAAAGGTGATGTACACAAAAAGAAAGAAGTTATCCAAGATGTTACACTTCATGATTTGGATGTAGCAAATGCAAGACCTCAAGGTGGACAAGATATTTTATCAATGATGGGGCAGTTAATGAAGCCAAAAAAGACAGAAATTACTGGTAATTTTTTTCTACATATGAAATTTATTTTTTGAAAGTTTTGTAGGTGTAGTCTTTGATAGTTTCAATTATGCTTCCACAGACAAATTAAGGAAAGAAATTAACAAAGTTGTTAACAAGTATATTGATCAAGGAATTGCTGAACTAGTTCCCGGAGTTCTTTTTATTGATGAAGTACACATGCTGGACATTGAATGTTTCACATATCTTCACAGAGCGCTTGAGAGTGCCATTGCCCCAATTGTAATATTTGCCACCAATAGAGGACGATGTGTTATTAGGTGAGTCTGAATTCATTACTGTCGTGTGGAGCTGCTTTGTAAGCCTTGAATGTCTACCTTTTTCTTTTCTCTTTTAGGGGTACAGAAGACATTTTATCTCCTCATGGTGTTCCGCTTGACTTGTTAGACCGTTTACTTATTATTCGTACTTTGCCATATGCTCGAAATGAGTTGGAACTTATTCTAAAGCTGAGAGCACAAACAGAAGGATTAGTGGTTGAAGAAGATGCTTCGTCTTTATTAAGTGAAATTGGAAGCAATTCAACCTTACGGTAAGTAAAAGAATATTTTAATCCAGGAATTTATAAGGCTATTTATTTCTGTGGTTGATTTGTGTCTAAAATTTCTTTTATCCCATAGGTATGCAGTACAGCTTCTCACTCCAGCATCACTCACTGCTAGGGTAAATGGTCGTTCCACTATTTCCAAAGAAGATGTTCAAGAAGTTGGAAGTTTGTTTTTAGATGCAAAGTCTTCTGCTAAAATTCTCTCACAAAACAAGGATAAATTTATGAGCTAAAAAGTTGATCTGCCCTTCTATAGGTAATACCTATGGTACAAAAGCTTACTTCTTTTTTAGTTTTTCCATGAAAGATAATTCCCAGTAACATTTCCACTAGACGCTTGTGTCAAAATTGTAGCTTTAAGCAAATAAAACCATTTTTAGTTATATTATAAGAGAATTTTATTCCCTGCGAGAATTACAGAAAACACTATACCCTAAACTTGATACAAGGAGCATCTTGTAAAAATATCTCAAGCAATACAAATCACAGTTTTTGTTTAGCTGTTAATCCTTTGCTATATAAATACAACAAACCATCTCCTAGTCAGTTCCTTGTGCACGGAGCCTTGTGTGAGAACCAGCGACCAGCTTTCATTTAGATGATGCAATCGGCTCGTTCGACTGTAGAATATTTTTTATCCTCGAAAATGAGAAAACAATAGCTCTGCCTTGAGATTTCGTGTCTTTCTTTCATTTTCCTTCCATCTACCTCTTTGACAAGCTACGACTTCTTTGAGCACGCGGAGCGCGCAGAGTGCGGGCGGGCGGGAAATATTCTGGATAGAGCGGGGGAAGGGACGGAAATTTAAGCAACATCATTTCGTATCAGCCGATGCATACTCAATTAAAAATGAACTGAAATCTTCCACCTTCCGCCAACTTAGGCTTACAGATGTGATTAGATGTAGTAGTTTTTCCATTAAAGAAAGAGAGAAGATAAATAACGGCATTGAGAGTTATTTGATATGAGAAGGAAAGTTGGTCAAGCTGATCGTGCATTGACTGCAGACGGCCAAGACGACGTCCACAAATACTAATTCTACTTTTGTATTTTGGTTGGTTTTGTCATAAATATTTTGTATCGTAAATGTTTAAAAGATTTTACTTACTTCGATTTGAAACGTAAACGAGGCAATATTGGCTGTGTATACCTTATGTGCGCTTTACGTTTACGTGACTGTACAGAAAATTTTGGTGAATCGTGGTGCAGTGAGAGTGAATCTCTTGTACGTTGGCGTCGCAGTTCTATCTTTTCGAGATTCAAGTGATTTATTTTCGTTTGACAATACGGATTCGTTTGGTGTCAGACGAAGTCTTGCTCATTGCTTAACCCAGTTGAACTTGCATTACCTTTAGCAATGGCAGAAAAGAAGGGTAAGCATCTAATTTATTAGTAGTATATAAAGTTTAAGGATTTACTGTTTTGTCAGATCTTCATTGTTAATGATACGGGGGCATCCGCCCTGCTGTTCCCTCTTGGCGCTGGACCACTCAAGACTTTGCTCTAATAACAAAAGCAGAATATGAGCCGTATCTTGAAATATGTTATCTCTTAGTTTATTTTATGCAGAGCTCAAACACCGTGTTGGCTCTTACTTCTGCTAGGATTTTTTGTGTACAAGGGAACAAATCAATAATTCTTCCCTACATCCACCCTTCGCGAACAAAATGGCCACCCAAATTGAAGTACACAAATTTATATTTAGGCGAATATTTTGGTTTTCTGTGGTTCGTGGCTATTTGTTGCCTGAGTCCAGTGTGCGCGCCCTACAATTAATTTACGATCTTACACTTTGTTAAGTTTTTCATGGCCTAGCTTCATAAGTATTGATGTTCTGTGGCCTTGCCCCCAGTATAAGTAGTTTCTATTTACTACAAAAATTTGTTTTATTTTCTAAAGCTTGCGTACATGATACAAACACAGGGGAGTTAATATGTTTTGTTCAGAAATTTTATATGTTGCCATTGTTAAATAGATTGCTTACTAAAGCTTTTTCAGAGATCTCTTTGTCATGTCATGGTAATCTATGTGCGATGAATGATAATGTGTTGTGGATAGTGTTTGTTATTTTCTAAAAGATGTGAAAGGCTCACAATTTAAAAAGTAAACTTTAATTTATGCGTTTGTTTTGAACAGTTCACAATTATGGTGGAATATTCAGGATAGCAGATAGCGTAAATTAATTTGAAATCGATACTTAATTTCCTAGCGTGTTTAACACCATCATTTTTTGCGGCCTTAACTATATCAGTTATTCATCTAAGATACTTCCTTTAACTATAAGGGTTTCTTCGTTACATTCAGTGTGAAAGTAAACGTACTACAATTTAAGTGATCATAGACAGCAAAGTACCCCCAGATCCTCAAAATATCTTAAAAGTTAAATCAATTTCCCCAAAATGTTTATTTGAAAATTTGATCTTAGAACTTTGAGTGCTTACATATTGTATTAAATGTAACTTGACTTAGTCCTCATTCATAAAAGTTAGGGATGGGTCTGGTGGTACTTAAGTTTTAGTATTCAGACTGTACATCCTTCTCGTATGTGTTGCATTTTTTATTCCAGAGGACTCCAGCACTGATCCATTAACACTAGGCAAAGAGCAGTGCTTCCATTCTTTGGAAAAATGTGCTGACCCACGATCGACGACACCGAGATAATTATCGGTTTTATGATTCGTGCACGTTTTACTGATATCTTTTTTGGAGGGTAAATCAATGCTAATTATTCATTCCAGCTTCCTTCTTGATGGATGTTTTCTGGCGAGGGGATCGGCCTGTTACTAGCGAAAACCATAAAACCAGTGACAGCGTATTTAAACCATAAATACCTCTTCTAAGTGTTTCTTTTACCAAACTGGCTGGTTGCTTGTCTTATAATCTCCTTCACTAGTTATTTTTTTACCATTAGCGTAGCAATTGGAGTGCAACATGTTTTTTTTCTTAAGAAAGTCATTATTTCTTGTCAACAATGATGTGAGATTTTTGCATGAATGGATGGTAGAATGAGGATGCCTAGCAGAGAAGTGCTAAGGGACTGTGCACCGAGGTGTGAGATTTGCTACGGTTTGGTGTATATGTGCCCTCTTTACCAGTATGGTCATGGTCCTAGCGCACTTCTTCAATTTTAACAAAATTTTAATTTCTTCATGCTGTCAATGTTGATATTGTGAGTTTTCAAAGTCAAGTAAAGTCACAATTTGGAATAAGTAAATCAGACGAATCCCCTGGTCTTGTGCTGTTTGGAGTTTCATATCAGCACAGTGCATGCCGTACTGTAATAAGGTCATTTTCAAGGGAGCTTTAACATCAATTATATCAGTTTTTTCTATTCATCATAATTTAGTGCCTTTGCACTGCTGTTTATCCTTTTGGTTGTGATATTAATTTCTAACTCATTATAAATAAATGATTGATGCATAAGCTCTCACTTGTCCTCTTGCTACCATCTAGCAGATTTCTGCTGTAGTTTTTGTTGGGTTTTACCAACCAACATTGTCACGATGGTGTTTATTTGGCACTATAATCCATTGTTATTTTCTGGAATGTGGAATACAGTTTGAGGTACCAGGATTAAGTTAAAAATCATTTAATTGGATAGTGAATCTATTATATTCTTGCTCCCATCTAAATTTAGTGTGTTTTCATACACATTTTTTTTAAGCTAATTACTTTTTATTTCATGTAAAGTGTGTTATTTATAACTATTCTGAGTTCACTTGAACAGTATTTCACAGTCCTTGCTATCCCGCTCTTGGAAAAGTGGGAGCATTTGTGTGGGGCTAATGATGCAATCATGTGTCTTGCTTAGTCAATGTTCACAAAGCGCCTTTCTGTATGCAAAGTGATAACTTTTTATTTGTTTCCTGTTCTTTTTCACACATACAGCTGTGCTATTGAGATATTGAAAAACTCTTTATTTCATGGATTCAACCAATGAAAAAGAGAGAGAGAAAAGCCAAGCTAAAGTGCAAACCATACCTGTAAACTATCAAATTTGGTGTAACTATTACAAGTTTGATCTCTAGTTGGTCACACCCAGGAACTACCTGTTTGTTGTGTGAAATAACATTTTATATTCTCCTTGGCTCTATGTGTGAAATGAAACTTTAGATGTAATCTTACAATATCCCATCCCATTTTATCATTTGTTTTACATTTTTCAAGTAAATTTTTATTTCAAAAACACAAAGGAAGCAAATTATTACTTAGAGCATGTCTTTTTTTTTAAATTTTCATTATTGTTTGGGACTGTACAGATTTAAATGCTTGTAGACTTCTTATTTACTAACCCTTAACCTGAACAGGCACTAGAAAATATAGTAATTCACAAGACAGTAACAATCAATGACAAAGTTAAAGAGTTGATATTTTCAATTTGATAAATATGTGTGCCTGTTTAGGATTATTAGTGCATGTCTATAACTTAGCATAATATTAAACCACTGCTCAAATACAGCTCATATATATTTTTAATTCTGAAACATTCTTATATTAGTTTTGAGCCTCTATGATGTGGCCAAAAATCAATTTTGATGACAGCAAAGTGACACATTACACAAATTGAGCATTGGTTCATTAGCATGTTTTGTGTATAATGCATGAATAGTGTAGGTTTTGGTGTGAGTAAATAAACTAACTTCTTTTATCATTTATAATTAGCAAGTGCACATGGTAGCAGTAAAATATTTTGGTGGGCCTAAAGGCTGATTTTCCATTTATTACATTCTAAAACTTGTGGTGTTCCACAATCCTATGAATTAACTAAGGAAACTCTTACATTATGAAAGATTTTAAATAAAAGGCGGGTTCTGTAGTGCCCCTTTTTGTCTAGCTCTAAAGATAATGTCATCTGCAATTCAAGATTTCCTTTTATATTTTGACAATTAAAACTAAAATTGATTGAACTTCAGCCTTTCCCAACTGTTGATGTAGAGAACCAGTAGTGTACACAAATACAATGTGAGCATACTTTGTATTGAAGTTTGTGTGCAAAATGAAATCTTAACTAACTCACTTGTAGAGTGCATGAGCATTTTAGACTTGGCATGTTTTGGAACTCTCAAACAAGAGACATTAAACTTTAGCTCATTGACTCAATATCCAAGTTTTTCATCAAATTTCTTTCAGTCAAACTAAGGAGTTTTTTTATATTATTTACATTGTTACATTCTACTACTTTGAAGTGAATGAATCTGTCTGAAATTTTCCCCTTGTCTCTGTCTTGAGGTTTTCATTCTATATTGCATTCTTTGATGTAGTGGGCTTGGCAGCTTGGTTTTTTTCTGCGACAGAAAGATATTTAACAATATTTTTGTGATTCTTGATCACCCGTTACCTTTCTTTTTGTGGTATTTGAACTACTTCCTTGGAACACAAGGGGGGGTGCCCTTTCTCATGAGAACTACTTTTTTTTTTAAATATTCAAAATTTGTCTCAAATTACCTTTTGATGAAGCTGCCAACCTATTCCTACTTCATGCACAATGTTTGGCTGTTTGTGTTGCATTTGTTTTATTTGTTTTTGTTTTTTTTTTCTCCACAAAGTGTTCACCTACTGAATTGTAGTGCTTTAGTGTTGGTGGTAGATGCATGCTGCAGCTAGCTGTACATGTTCTATTATTTTTATTATTTTTATTTTTGGTTTTTATTTCAAAGCCTTATTGTATATGGTATCAGATGCATTCATCAGATTTTTCTCTGGAAACTATGAATCATCTTTTACTCTGGCAAAGGTTTGGTACCATAAAATGTTTGAATAGCTCAGCAGTTTGTGTGCTCTTGTTCAACATGAAACTTTTGGTCCTATTCACTTGACCATTCAATTCCATTTGTTGCCTTGATAAATTAGTGCTGATTAATGTCATTCTTTCATATCAATAGTGATTTCTTTGTAAATCAGTCCTCAATAGTTCACTTTTCATTGTTTTTTCATTTGCTTTAATATGAAGTTGTTGACAGCATGTCATAAACATTAATTGTAACTTTGTACAATCTGTCAATTCTATTGAGTACCTTGAAACCTGCTTTTGCCACACAATAGCGCTTTGACCAAAATTTCTTTATTTTGATTTCTCAAGTTCATTAAGACCAAATAATACAGATCCATCTTATTTTTTCCATATTTTTTGTCTAATTTGTATCAGATCTCAAGAAATTTATTTCTGCATACATCAATATTTTGTAAGGTCTAACCTTCCTAAAGTAAGAGAAATCAGTTGCCAGAGTGATCTCTCACAAGTAAAGATTCAGCCTCATTAGTGGACCAGTTGCCTCTTTGGTTGAGGCAACACACCTCTTGTATAGTCAGCATCTCATTCTTTCTTTGATTTCTCTTGCAGCTCCTTACCCCGGTGCTCCTCCTCAGCCACCCCAAGGCTTTGTGCAAGGCCCTTCCCATGCAGCATATGGTGGTGAGTCACCCTTGCTTTGAAATCATACTTGGAGTCATATTTTGGTAATTTCTGCAATAATGAAATGGTGTTTCTGTGTTTTTCTTGTAGTGCCCACTTCTAGTCCATATGGAGTCTTCCCGACACAGGCTCAACTCTATGCCGCGGCGGCTGCGGCACAAGCCCAGGCTCAGGGTCCACCACCTACATATGATCAAACGTTAAATCACCATATGGTTGGACAACAGGTGTGTTTTCGAAAGTTTTTGAACTTTGTTGTGAAAATTACTTCTTTTATCTGTGTTACTTGAAAGAATGAATGAATAAACAATATTATTTTGTGCTACAGATGTACCCTCCTGGAGCTGCAGCTGCTGCAGCTGCTGCTGCTGCACAGATGTATGCAGCTCAAGGATATCCTGGTTACCTTGGCTACCCGAACCCTTACAATCCTATGCAGGCTGCCTACTACCCATCTCTAGCTGCCTATGCTTATCCAGGCATGCCGCCAGCGGCCGCTCAACAGTTCAGACCAACCATCATGGTTCCTGTAAGTATCTTTAGTTACTGTTTGTCATGTACCTGTCTGTTGCTGCATTTGTTTTCTATCTCTCACTAATCACGTATCTGTGCTATTTCAGGGGGCATATGATCCAGGTGCACGTTTTGATGGAATTGCGCAACAGGTCATCCCACAGTCACCCCCGGGAGTAGCTCCTAATGCAGCTCAACTGGCAGCAATGGCTGGCCATGGAGTTGCACTTTCTCAGAAGAAAGGCTCGTACTTGGCTGGCGGCAGTGAGGGTGGATACACATTCTGGTAAACTTTTAATTTTATGGAATTTTATATTGAAACTCAGACATCTTTCAATCAGGGTTGCCCCTCATAATTATTAGACTCTTTGTTTGTAAATGTGGATTGCTGCAAGCGTTCCCAAATATCTAGAATGTTTGAAAAAGACTTGACTATATTTCAATCTATTTGTCACATCTCTCATTTCTATCTTGGAGATGTTTTTGTTTCACACTAAATGTTCCTTAATTGTCTCCATTGAGAGTTTGGTATAGAAAATTCTGTTTATGGTGGCTTTGGTTATTTCAACACTAACTGGCCATCATATTACAATTTTTTTTATACTTTTTTTTTCTTTTTTTTTTTTGAATTGCCATGGAACTGAGTGTGCATTTGGATGTATTCACTTGCTATCAGCAGTTCAAGGGAAGCATTGTTCTTCTGTGACATATTAAGTGCAAAAATCGCTCTTATGCTCCTAGATATGTGATAATGTTTAGTCAAGTTAGATCCTCTCATTTAGTTTGAGGAAATCAGGAATGACAATGATTGGTTCATGAAGTTCTGTGTTACTGTATTTTGTGGCTAATATGTCATGAACAGGAGAGCACTATTGTGCACTGACCTTATTCTTTTAGAATGGGTTATTTGATTAAAAGTGTGGATATGACCAGATTGAAGACAGTCACTCTGTGGTTTCACTGGTTTTTCTTGTTGTTAGCTTGTGTAGCCTTTTGTTACATTGATACCTTTTTTCTTTTTGTGGGAAGTTAAACCAGAGATGACAACAAAGACCCACATCCTGTAGACAAACATGTGGTATTAATTTACATATCGTTTGTGTACGTATCAGTCCAAGTTTCCACAAATTACATCACTTTGTTAGTGTTAACTCCTAGGTTCTGTTAATTCTCTTTAATTTCTACCATTCAATTGGCAACCCTAGATTGTAAGAGTGATAATTTAATCTTATCTATTTGCCTTATCGTGATAATTTAAATTTTATTGTAAGCTCCCAAATTTCAAAGTTAAATAACAAAGTGGAAACATTTAAGAGAGTGAACAGGTTCTAGCCTCCAGTTGTTGTGGTTTTTCTGAAAGGATTGATCTAAGACAGATAACTTAACTGATTATGGAGTAGTGCAATACTTTCGTAATTTGCAGTTTCTAAGTACATAGTACATACTGATGCTATTTCAGCTTCATTTGTTTTTCTTTGCTTGATTCCTCGGTAAAGGATCTGATTGCATCTCCTCTTTGGTTTTCTTCTCCTTCTGTCCATGCCAAGAATTCGATTCTCTACCAATTGTGTCAATTTATCTCATATCTATTTTAATTTTCAATAGCATTCCAATTTTGTTCTCATCCCCATTGTGTTAATTTAAATCTCAAATTTTGTCTATTATTCTTTCAGATTGGAAGGTTTTCACATAGAGATTCTAGGACGTCTACACAATCCTTTTTATTGGAAAATTGGAATGTTTTACATCACAAATTGTATGTGCAGAAGGTGTTCTGAGTAATACCATCAAAAGTGTTCCTTGACCATGGTGAGTCTTTGTCATGGACAGTATGCTGAAGCCCCCTTCCTTATAGTTATATTTGTTGTGTTATAAAGGATTGTTATGGTGTAAATCACATTTTCAAACATCAAAATCTATCTATTTGTTGTGTTGTCTCCTGCTTGTTCGCCTGTTGGCATTTTTTTAAAAATAGACCATTCCTTGTTATTTGAGTATCAATATTTCGATACTGGAACTCTGTAGTTCATCACTACGGTGGTTATTGTGATATTCCTGATACCATCAGAGGTGGGCAATGTTGAAGAGATCAACAGTGTCATATCCAAGGCAAAGTTTTTGGTTTCTACAAGCTCTCTTTCTATTTTAATTCCTATTCTTGACTTTTTTCTCTGTAACTTTAACCAAGTGTCAATCAACTTCTTTTTTAATGGGCGGGGGGGAAGGAGGGGGGTGTTGTAGAAGTGTTGGGGAAGGGGCAGAGAGCTACTGCTAGATTTTCTTCATTGACTTTGATATGATATTTTGTAGACCAACTTGAAGCATCATCTTTATGCTCTAGTAGACAGTGTTGAGAAAATTTAACCATTTAAAATTTGTTACTTCTGAAGTGGAACATCTCTTCCTTTCGTTATCTGTGATCTTTATGGTTGGTTCTTCGTAGTAATATTTGAATCTAATTTTGCCTACCTCTGAATATGTTCAAAAACATATTGGTACCAGTATCGTTGAATTTTTTTAAAAAGTAGCATTGCCATCTTAATTTTTTTTTTTTTAAATAATACTCAGACGTTTATACTTAATGAGATTCCATAGTGCTACAAGCTCTTTTAAAGTGTAAGCTTACGATCAAGATTTGAACTGTGTTGCCCAGAATCAAAAGAGATGAAAGTGGTTGACACCAAGTCCGTACTGTTTCTAATGGGCTAGAGATAAGTGTGAATGTGCATATGACTAAGTATGATTCCTGTATGTGCGAGAATGCTTGTGTGTGTGGACTGTGATCTGTTTTATGAGAATGTGGGATTTGAATGTGAGTATGTGTTGTATGCAAATTAATGTAAAACATGCAAGATTTCTTGCATAACTTGAAGCTATTGCATGACTTAAACCTCTGATTTGCGGAGTATTTTTTTTTTTTTTTTTTTTTGTTCCTTTCATAGAACTGTTTAAAGTGCATGAATATTCAACTTCTGTAATTCCTTTGTGCAGGATTCTGTCAAATATCGCGCTCCTTTTTTTTGTATTAACATTTTTATGTTCTTTGAAATATTTATAATTGTTTTGGTTACCTGTTCACTCACATTTTTTGTATGTTCATTTTTTTTTCTCATCTTGTTGTATTTGTTTGGAAAGAGTCACAGAATCAGTGAATTACTGAATTGAATAAAATGTTGCTGAAAGAACTGTAATTGTGATTTTGCTCCACTTTGATAGCCTTTTTTACTATTTGGAGTATAAGGCTTTCTATTGATCATGTTACTTCAACAAACATGAGCTGTACTTAAGTCAACTTTAAAAAAAAATCAAAAAATAAATAAAATCAGTGATTTTGCATGGTGTAATAAGGTAGTTATTTACTCAAAGTTTGTGTCCTGAAAGACTTGTCTGCTTGTCTGTTGAACATCAACTTGTGATCTGATTAAGATTTTATGGCACATGATGTCTGTTTTTAGGTACGAATCAGCATCAATGCTTTTCCTCTGAATGCATCATTATTTTCAGTGATATAGCAATTCAGGTAGAAGAGCATGCTACTAAAGAAAAGTTTTCGCTCACATGCATTGATGTCTTGATCTGAAACAGGGAATGCTATTGGAAGGTTTGCTCAGACTGATATCAAAGCCCAGACTGACTTTCTAAATTATTATTTACTCTTGACCAGTAGAACTGATATCTGTAGTTGTAGATCTTTTTAGTTTCAACTCTTTAAAAGAAAATTTCTTGTTGGGATTTGGAGAAAGTGTTAGGTGAACTTTCAGGAGTCAAGTTCCACTGTGATTGATTGTTGCACAGTGTTTCTAACATAATGTGTCTGTAATGACATTTCATTTCCGTTATATTTTTCATTCTTGTCCAACTCCCTGTTTCGAAATGGTCATCCAGTGAGTTCCTATCTACAAAGTGAGTCTATGAAATTAATGTGATAGTTTATATTAATTTGCTTCATAGGTTTCAACTTGTCTTAAGTGCCAGTTAATAATAGTTTATTTCTGTTTAATGAGCGTGTGTACAAATTGTACCTATATTATGTACTGAACCACCTTTCCCTTGAGTGACTGACAGAGCAGCTGTGTACTTTCTGTATTGCTGGAAAACTCACGACAGAAATAAATCTTATTACTGATTAGCAAGATAACGTTTTTACCTAGACTTTAATGAATTTCAGTTCAATCATCAAAACAAAACAGGAAACTGCTTGATAACAAAAGCGATGGAAGTTTAATCAGAAGTCTTTTATACTATTACACCCTTTAATAACTAATTCAATTTAAAAGTATGCTGTACAAGACAGTAAAATAAATGCTCTGCTGAGTCTCACTACGTCAGTATCTACAATGATTAAAAACATTTTGGACACTAGAAAATTGATAGGTTTGATTAAAGTTAACTACACAACACTTGATTTGCTAGCGCAGGCCGAAAATTAATTCACCAACAAGTGCTGAATTACTATCCTCCGGCTTGATCCATTTAAAAAAATGATAATTAGTCTCCAATAATATACAAAAATATTGTTTTCACCAACTAATAAATTTAATATTCAATATATATTTATTATGATACATTCTTATGTACATACTCTCATACAGAAAACTACTGATTCAAGAAAATTGAAAACCAATCAAATTTGAGGATAAAATGGCTAAGACCAAACCACCATCCTATTCCCAAAAGTGAACAGCACCTTTGATGAAGTATAAATATGATAGATTTTTACTTTGATCCTTGAAAGTAATTCACAGAGTTATGCTTAGGAATTTTGGAGGGAAGCATATTTTCCTAACATGCTCTACTATCACTGGGTGAAGCCAGACAGTTTAGAAACATATGAGCATGTTAAGTGTCAGTCTTAGCCCCATAGTGTTACATAAAGAGATAGACAAACCAGAATAGACGGACATACATTCTTAGTAGGTAATAGTCATAACAACAATGTGTCAATAAAAGATGACGTACAAGGAAAGAAGCCGCCTCAGGATATTTTGTTTTATCTTATATTTGAATATGCAAGCTACGCATAAGACAATCACCTATGAAAAATACATGGACTTGAATCAATGTTTTGAATGTTTTGACAAAAAAAATCCTCAGCAGCCGAGACAAAATGAGAAAGTAACCAGTCAGGCCAAAAAAACGGACACAATCACAGGAAAGGGAATAAAGCCAGTCAATTACATAAAATATTTTCTCTTTCAAAAGTTGTCAATCAATAACTTACATTTGATCAGTTAAAAGAATGTGCACCAATTTAAAATGGTTAGAACGGTACAATCAAGTATTGTGCCCTGAATCTTCTTTTACGTAATGTAGTTGCTCAAAGCAGCGACAGTTACAGGAAACTTTAGCGACACTATCATAGTCACAATTTAGTTACAAAAGAAACAAAGAAGTCCTTTACCTTTAAATAAAATATGGTATTGATTTAAGGCATGAAGAGTGACATACATATAATAAATGTAATGTAATTACATGTTACAGAACAGTAATAATGAAAGGCTGATGCAGAAGCATGCAATGCAATACTGAACAGAGACCAACAGATTCATTGAGATCCCTATCCTAACTGTATGTAGCGGGTAAAAGCCAAAGTTAACCACTTCTAATGGCTAACAAAATGAGGAGTATAATGTGTTAATGATAAACATGCATACTTCCCAAACAAGAGGTACTAAAAGAAACGAAAACTCTGGATGAAAGCAAATAATTCGGGCATCTCTCTTGAGCAAGTGCAGCCACCTTTTAGAGGGGAAACACAATCCATACACCCTTCAAAACTAAGTAGAGAATTAATTTCATGGTCAAACTCTAGAAGAAACAGTTTTGCACAAAGTCTTTAGATGGACAAATTTTTACAGCGCTTCTCAACATTCAAAAAGAGACTGCTGAGATATATCACTATGTTTAGAGCAAAATATAAATCATATCTGAAGTCATGAAGTAACAAATAAATATGAACTTTCACCACCCTACCATAATACACCAATATTTCCCTAAAATACATGTATTAGTAAATGCAAGGCATCTTCTAACAGACAAGATGCACAATTGACACAAGACATAAATTTCTCGCACAGAAAGTTCTCTCACTTAGTATTTGGACTAAGCTTAATGACAGGGAGAAGCTAATACCATTAGTAAACAATTGCACTGGTTAATTAGACCTTGAGGCTCGTAGTCAAAACATTACCACATATATTACATTTTTTTTGTCTGGTAGGATCACAGTACAATTAATCAATAATAAAGTAGAACCTCAATTCCATTATTTTAAAAAGAAAGTTGTTTAAAAACCAACAGCCTTAAGCCGAGCCTTGAGTATGAGTAAAAAGACAAAAACAAAATTTACATCACCTATTATGATGATGAAAAACGGAATGCAAAAATACATAAGAAATAGCTTACCAAGCACTGGTCTCAAGAGGAAAAAGGCACTTTTCCAACACGTATCAGGATGTGACAAGGTAAGTGTACAAGACAAAAGAAAAAATATTACAAGGATTGCATTCCATGTCAGTTTTATAGGTTTACATCATAGTAATTACTTTAGACTATCTATATCATAGAGCATGGTCTTTTTTTGATTAAAAAAAAACAAACAAAACAATCATAAAACTCAATAACAAAGATTCAAAGCATATGAGGGCATCTGTTATCACGAACTGGATTATTTTCATTAGAGCTAGAAGTACGACAGAACCAAGCAGTGATGATTGAGAGTTGATTTTAAAAATATTTCATTTGTAAAAACTGCTCTTAATTTCTTTGAGAAGACATCTTTGAAAACAATAATTTAAGTTCATCAATGGTTGAAACAAAATTGATTATAAAAATGGAATGTTCTTAGCCACCTAATCTTGTTCACAAAAACAAAAATTAAGACAGTTTTGGGGTTACATTTTCACTCAAACTCAGGCATAGAAGGCTGTTTAAGAAAGGAAAGGATTAGGTTGAAGTGGTTGTGGAAGATTAAATCCTGTTGAAGGTTGAGGAGTGCCAGTTGACCCAAATGGTTGCTGGCGAATTTGATTGATTGTTGGACGTACAGCTTGAGCAACAGCTTGCTGTTGGAAAAGATTATTTGTTGTTCCCGCGGTAGCTGGAGCAGCTGGACCCGAAGAAAAAGGGTTCACAGTTCCAAAGGCTCCTTTGAAAGAAATAGAAACTATAAGAGCAGAGCAGGATTAAAACACGAAGTACAGACAAGTTCACAAACACTACCTTGTGAGGCTGGTGCCACAGTTGGTTTTGGGCTAACTGTGACCAAGTTGTCTAGGTTGACGAGAGAAGAGTTTTCTCCAAGGAAGCTGTGTGGACTTTTCTTAGCACTTTGCTTAGAATCATTTAATGCATCGCCGAGAGCTGATAAATCTAGGGAATCTGATGCGACCATTCAAAATAACCATTAAAAACTAAATACATTTAGCTTCTATAATCATAATCTAATTTAATATGACACTAGTGACATACCTGAGCTATTATTATTTGTGGTATTTATATTGCTTGCTTGATTTCCACCAGGCCTTTCTCTATTGGTAATAATGTCAAATTCATCAAGATCACTGGCTGGACTATGCAAGTTGTTTGATGTTGAAATAAGATCAGAGGAGGCAGAGGAAGGAGACCATGGATCAGCTGCAGAACCCTTGGGTGGGGAAGTTGTAGGTGCAACTGATGACACAACTTTCCATGGGTCAACAGCTGTAGCAGATTAAAAAGAATGAGCATTCAAATAAAATTATCTTCAGCTTACGACATAGCAGAAATTGGAATTGGAATGTACCTGGTTTAGAAGGTGTAGTTTCTAGAGGTGCCCAGGGATCATGGGAAACTGGTGGGGCCAGAGCTACGGCACCAAGAACGGTTGATGTAGAAGCAGATGAGGACGGTTTAGGGACACCCCAGGGATCCATCTACAGATATATTATAGGTGACAAAGTGGACACAGTTACGGACAGTACAAATAGAAGACTGAATTTAAACAGGAAAAAAAAGAGATCATACCTGTGGACGAGGGGGTACAGGTTGGGCAGGCATACCCCATGGGTCCACCGCAGATGCAGTTGCTCCAGCCACAGTACCAGCAGATGATGGGCCTGCTACTGTGCTAAGGTTTACATCAAGAAGGTCAAGTAAATGGCTCTGTTTCTCTGTCTGACGAGGGGCAGGACCAGCCCCTGGTATGTTCCTATAACAATAAAAAAATGCCTCATGCAACACATTTAAGTAATGTGTCTCACATTAAACAAATATTCAACTAACTTGAATTCATCTTCACTTTGTGATAGAGCAAGTTGCAGCCTAACATCATCACTACGTCTGCGCTGTTCTTCTTGGTCTGCTTCTTCGCGTGACATTGCCAAAGCAAGTTGAAGCTGCAACTCTTCCTCACCCACAGTTTGCGGACGAGCACATTCAAGTTCAGAGCCCACTCCTAGAAAAGTGAAGTAGTCAAAATTAGAGACTTTGCCGTAAATAAGGTGTTACAATACCATATAAATAATTATTTCACCTCTTGCTGCTGCTTCCATTTCACTTGGAGGAGGACCCCATGAACCACCCTGAAACAACCCACATTGGCCATTTTAAATTTCATGTAATAAACAAGGAAAAAGACACTGATGGAAAATTCGTAAAAGTTACTGTATCATAATTATCATAATTGGGTTCAATTTATTCATTTTGTATTTTTACTCACATAAAGAAAAGGAGGACTAGTAGGTGTATCCTGTTAAGAAGTAGAAATGGAATTTTAGTTTCCTGAATTTAAGAGGATAATTGACAACTAGGCTATGTAGTGTTATTTTTAAATAAAAAGGAACAGAACTCACCCCCCCATCACTGCCAAAAGCAGATGCATTTTGAGCAGATCTTTCCTTTGCTTTCAAGGCTCGAGCGCGCTCATTACGCAAGCGTTCATCATCCTTAAGAAGCGCAATTAAACTTTTTGCCTTCTCACGGACATTCTTGCCCAAGTCTTTAACATCTTCAGTGTATTGGAAATCTTGCAGAGTTTGAATAAAAAATATGTTTTCTTTGCACTGCTGTGCCACCTAAGAAAGAAAAGAAAGAGAATGAGTCAACTAAACACAGTCTCAATTAATTTTTTTCTGTATTTCGTTGTTTGTAAAGAGAAACAAACCTTCTCCGAGCCAGTTTTTATGCAATACTCCAAAACTAATAGAGACTTGTACACATGTCGCCAGTAGCGTCCATCACTATTCAGACGTTTCCACAACATCTGCATGATTTCAGTGAATGCAACAACATTGTATGTAAGGTCAGCAATTTCAGCCATCTGTCTACTGCTTGGGCCCCATGGGTCATTACTGGTGGCTTCACGAACTAGAACCTGAATCAACAGATTTGATGTAAGCAAAAATTTCAATACAGTTGAAAATTGGTACAAATGCTTGATCTTTACCTGAGCGGAAGAGTAGTTGTGGGCTATGTTAATTATATGTCTTCTTAATCCAGCCATATTTACTTGCATATCCTCACGTTGTCTACGCATCTGAGGAGAAACAATATAAATTATGACAAAAAGAACTTTCAAAGACAAAAATAGGAGAAGCTTTGTTGCACATACTTACCCTAAATTAATTGTCAGTCTTAAACAAATACAGAGAGACCTATGGTGTGTGACCTGTAGGGAGTAAAAATATAGCATAAAAATATACAAAGATAAAAAATGTGATACAGATGAAGGGGTGCAAGGGATCTAACATGATGTCTTGTGTATTTGAAGCAATGGCATTTAACCATAGCAACTGTCAGTATGTTTCTGAATAATACAAAGCTCTATCTACAATAAGAGGGAAAGAGAGGAAACACCTAAATGAGACAGATTACTAGTAAGATTATAGTCTCCCCTGTTAGCTTTTTCTGCTCAAACTATGGGCAAGAAAAAGACATTTAACACCAAATTGACATCAGGGTCATGAAACAAGAGACAACAATATTATTACTAAACTTGTAACCAAAAAATTATGCAATGAGTTTCTAAACATTACAGACACGTTTCTAAAATGATCTGAATCACACTTTAGCTAAGGGAAAAGTTTTGTTTATTTACAAAGCAAACCAGAAGATACAAGAATGAAGGTTATGACAACTATGTCACACTACTAACGTCTTGTCCTCAAAATAACGGTGAATGAAATGGATTGCTGACTCCATCGATTGCAGCGGAAGAAGAAGAGTTATGAGGTGAATAGAACAAGAACATAAGCTTTATATTGTGCGCTTGTCAGAGAGGAAGACCGATAAGTCAACATTACTTGCACAACAAATAAAAGTAGAAGTAGACCTCTACCAAGAATACGGAATGTACAAGAACAACAACAAGTTTTCATTAAAATGACTTCGGAAAGATATTTAATCTCACCTCAAAAAAAGGAAATTGAAAGCGCTTCTAGCGCCTATCCTAAATTTCACAGAGGAAACAGGACTTCAGCATACAGAAATGAACCAAACCCACGTAAGTATGCAAGATGAATGAAAACCTTTTTCACGAATGATCCTCCTTTTCTTCTTCCTTCTTTCTTCACAAGGGGTTTTACTTGTCAGCAACAAACAACAATTACACTCTAAAATAATGAATGAATAAATAAAAAAATGATGTG